TAACTCAAAGCTCTTACATCTTTGTGCCCGCTGCTGGAAGCATCATGAAGTGGTGTGTCGTCATCCAGACCCTGCGTATTCACCTCTGCACCCGCTGCTATCAAGACCTTGGCCACATCATAGTAACCAAGATTACAGGCTTCATGCAGAGGCGTCCAACCTGGTGAGGACAGGAGAAGAGTCTTAAAAAAAAAAAAATTACCAGCTGTTTTCTCAATTCTACTACTCCACATACCAACAGCTGCATAAGCAGTAGTAATGCGCAGACTGATTAAAGCTCATGTTGAGACATTGCCTTTGCATCAGCATCTGTTACTCAGTCTAATGTCATTATTAACAACTGCTGGGACATGATGAAAGCTGTTAAATGATCATCTCCTGGGGCGTCGTACCTGCAAAGTCTTTGACATTGACATCAGCTCCCAGGCTAATGAGCTCTTTAACTTGCTTAGCGTCTCCCCGGATTGCTGCCATGTGAAGGGGAGTCTCCCCTCGCTCGTTCCTCTTGTTGACCTTGTCTTTCTGCCGAGACGAGGCGCTGCTGGGGACTTTCTTCTGCACTGGGGTCGTTTGTGAGGGGTGACTCGGTGTAGAGTCTGGACACATGGGGAGAGGGAGAGCGAAAAAGACTTAAATGATGCTCGAAGGGAAGAGAGACAGAAAAAAAGCACATCACACACTAAGACAACTGCTTTTCTCTCTAGACTGAACAACTACAGTGAATCCAGTTTTACTGGGAACAAGAGACTGCTTAAACCCATGTCTGAGTAAGCATACATGCATCTGGACCTTTCTAGGCAGTACACATGCACGTTTGAATGCATGGTGTCAGTACAAAGTTCAGTGAATTCACAACATCCTGGCCCACTCAGACAGAAAGACAGCATCTTCACCCAAAGCAAACTAGATCTACTGCTGTTTGCTACAAATTCAGGCTGTAGACAAACAGCAATAGTTGAAAGAACATGTATGGGTCTATGAAACATGAAATGGGGTTGCCATAGCATTGGATAACTGAATAGCACTAATGGAACTGGCATAGTTGTGTGTTGGTGCTAAACAGAACCTACACACAGCTGTGCAGACTGTCATCAACAAAATGTATCTGTGCGCCGTCACATTTTTTGAATACTGATGTTATTTATTGATTTTTTACTTCTCTCCTTTAGCGGTAAACTCTGCAGTCCCTCCGTTTTATCTGTGCACACCATCATCTTCATCGGCTACATGATGTCGGTTACTTTGGAGGACATGCACATATGTATACCTATGCAAATTCAGACAAATGCAGTTCCGTGATTTCCGGAAGATGCACTGTAATGTTTATCAGAGCTACTTTAATAAGATATGGAAATGGACTAACTGGCAAACATCAGATCATTTGAGTACTTTTTCCACCACTGAATATCCCATTTGTTGGCAATAACGGAGCAGTCCGTTACTACAGCATTACAGATAACATCATATAAAGCACAGTCAGACTGTGCAATGGAGAAGGTACGTGTGCACATTTCAGGCCATTTTCCTAACAAATGAGGGTTATCATTCCCCTCAAACTGTCTACTGTAACAGTCGCCCATTTCTCATCGACTGCTGATGAGCACCGGTGACGAAGGATGACATACATGAACAAATGAAGAAAGAAAGAAAGAAAGAAAGGAAAAAAAAGGTCTAGTGACTAGAGACCATATTTGGGGGAAAAGAAAAATTCTCAAAATTCTCAAAACTGCCAACAATGTAATGGAAAGGAAATGACAAATATTATCCAACTTATCAAGAGGAAGTAACTTTTTCACATAGCACAGGGTACAGCAAAACCAGACATCTCCTGCAGTAGACAGACTACGGCAGCAGGAAGTGGCATGGTACCGCCCCCCCACAATGCAGTTTCATCCCCTTCCAGCACCACTGCTTAATTCCCAAATATCCTGACCCGATTCTCTCAAATTCATTTGGAGTCATTTAACGGAATAATTTTTCAGTTTGGGAAATGCTCGTTTTTATGCTCTTACAAAGTTGCAGTTTTTTGTAGGCTTAACACTGTCAAACAGCTCCTTTAATGAGTAAAGCAAAAGACAAACAAAACCAAACTGCAATAACTACTAGAAAACACGTAAACAAAACAAAACCAAACAACACAGTAACCCTAACCCCTCTCCAAGTCAGCTATTTTCAGATCTAATCTACAGCAGCGGTACAGTATCACTAACAAACACCACAGATAAGATTTTTATCCTATTCCTAAAAAACAAAACAAAAACAGAGACGTTCTGAAGTATGACTCATCTAGCAGCAAATACACACTGACCCTTCTTGAGGACAAGGTGAGCGGGTGAGTACACAAACCTGGACTGTTGGCTGTCATCTGCATTAGGAGAGCCATCTGTTTGCGCTCCGACAGCGGATACCCAAACAAAAAGTTGGGTGCCTGGGATTTCTTGCCCCCAGCTTCCTTTTTCACCTTCTTCTTGTCTGGTCCATCTTTATCTGTAACAAGAATGAGTTTGGAGACAAATTACAAAAAACACCAAAAAAGGTCCTCTTTTACAAGATGCAACTTCATTGTGACTGCATCACAGTTTTCCTCTTCCCCTTGTATCTGTTGAACGCGCAGAGAAACAGATGACAAGCATGAGGTTTAAAACAAAAAAAACAAACAGTTAAAAAAACAAAACAAAAACAAAAAGAAGATGGCATTCTCTTAAGCCAGCCAAGTGCCCATGGCACTCCTCGGGCCCCCCCAGTCTCCACCGGTCGGTTGTTACTAAACAGACATGCGTGAGCTGTAATAGGGGGGAGATGCAAGGCGAAAACACACACGCGTGCATGTGTGCATGTGTGTTTACAGCAGAATAGCAGCGCAAAGTGGATGGGCGCGGGGGCTGAGGATCAGGCTGCAGCGATTACCTGCGTATATCCTGCAGGGAGGCACTAATCTCTCTCCCCAGGTCTCACTCGACTGGCCTGGGTCTGAGTCATCTACAGTGCAAAGCAGAGAGGATGGGAGGGGGGGAGAGGGGAGGAAAAGGAGAGCAAGGTGGGGGGGTGGAAGGGTGGGAAAGCACTGCATTAACGCTCGCTCGCTCTCTCTCACCCTCCTCGCTTCACATGAACTCAAACACAGACAGCCACAAAGGCACACTCGCACTCCACGCACAGATTATGAGTCATGGCAACACAGCAGACAGGAGAGGAGATCCGGTCCGAGGCGGTCACTGGGGTCGCTTCTTCGCCTCGTCCTACAGCTGCTCAACAAAAGGACCGGGGGAAGCTGCTGGAAGGCAAAGCCACTCTCCGTGCTAGTTTATTACGTGTGCGACATAAATTATACTTCCAAAATTGATGGTTATCATCTGTTAGAATGACACAGGACCACACAATGAAAACGATCACGTTGAGCTTTGCTCTACAGAGGAGATGAAGGCAAACCTGCAGGACTTCAAGCAGTCCATAAACATGCAGTTTATTTATTATAATTACAGCTGTACGATACAGTAACCTATTTTTAGGCCTTGAATCTGATAAACATATAGTTAAACTTTAACTGAAAGAGGGGGTTAGAACAGTGTTTACACAAGTGAGAGGAAGAACGACATGTCTGCACTGCTAAGATGAGTGCATTTTTATCGTCTACATAGTGACAGCTATTGGGAAATCTGTACACCATCAGTGAGGTTCAAGACAACTGCAAAGGTCTTTCTACAGCGCAGCTTATAAAAACATGTAAAAATACAAATACAAATAGTGTATTTAACAAACAAATGTTAAATACAGCATTGCAGTACATTTGTAGAGGGTTATTCTACTATTGAGGACTGAAAATGAGGGAACATGTAAAACAGTGAAGATTCTTGGGGGGCTTTTTACAGTTCACTTATACACTGGATATCTACGGCTACATAGATCACTGCTGGTTTTGGTCTTTCTTTTTAAATGGGTTTTGTAGATAAGGACATAATGTGTTGAATGTAGACAAAAAACAAAACAAAACATGGTGTTATATTAGGAGGTGGGGTAGGAGGATTTGTAACACTAAAAAATAAATACATTCTCATAGAATGATTCTTCATCCATCTCAGAATACACACAACAGGCCACAAGTTCATCAGTGAGACCTGACTTAGGTCCCGTTTTCGAAACAATATTGCCCCATTGTTGACTATTTGAAGACCTGTTTGACAGCAGGCCACCAGGGGGCAGTGTACAGACATGGCAGTGAGCCAGCAGCATGGCTGTTTGGAGGGAGGAACAGCAACACTCCTTACCCGTGTCGGAGTCTCGCTCCTCTGCCTGGGGCGGACTGGTAGTGAAGGAGAGCTTGCGCTTCATGGAAGACTTTGCTTTCCCTTCCTTCCCCAGCAATTCACTCCGGTCCAACTTTGGAGTTTTGGTGAAAGGCGACAACTTGTCTTTGCTCTGTCAAAAGGTGAGGAAGAAATAAAACACACACAAAGAATTAAAATCGGGTCAAACGAGGCAGAGCTGTGGCCTCAGTTGAGTGCCGAGTGTGTCTGGATATGTAAACAAAGGAGCAATGGCCTCAAATAAACCCTGGCAGTCTCATTTTAAAAGCCATATCAACTAGTTTGACAGCTAACAGGATCGAGCTTAGTACGCAGGTGGTAGTTCCTGCTTTACGTGACTTATACTGCAGAGATAACATCGACTGCAATACGGTATTTGGGTGCCGCTTGCGAGGCTCACTTAAATGTTGTTCCCAAGGCGAAGTCTCCAGGGAAAAATACAAGATCTGGAGCTTTCCCCCCATCAGTTTACACACAAAAGAGAAAAAAGGGAAGAAAAATAAGTCCATTGCTATGGCACTGTGCTGTCGGAGTATGAAAATATTCACACCTGTGCAACCTGCACTGCCAGGCAAGCATTCAATACCATCAGACTTCATAGATTAACGGTTTCTTTTTAATGCATAACAGCACCTTTACTGATCATCAGTTTAAATCATATCCGATTCAAAAATGTATCTGCAGTTCCAGTCCTCAAATGCATTGCATTATAAACTGTATATAGCCTGCTGGTCAGACAAAAATTGTTTAGGGTCGTCCCCCACAGCTTTGGTAGATTATCTCATACTTGCATCACAACTTTCAGACATTTTATAGACAAACTGAGTGAGACACTCAGATTAACTGATGTTGCAGTGACAACTAATTCCTAACTCAAACCCTTCAAATTTAATAGCTATAATACTGAAAACACGTAAAGCAAGGTTGACCACGAAAAGCCTGAAATGGGACGATAAAGCAAGAAAATTACCTACATATACAGGGTGGCTTCCTGTTGAACACAAGTACCACCTCATTTGGATAATTTGCATTTCTTTGGTGACCAAAATCGGAGCCATAATTGAGCAGAAAAGACGACAACACCCACTTCAAAAGACACAAGATGTTAAATTGTATCCCTCCCACTTGCAGCTGCTGATTGCTTCTATGGTTGTAATTTTGGTTTTCAATGCCTGAATTGAATTTAGCCACTCCATGCACATATAAAACTATTTGATTCTACAGAAAATACACACGGTGGAGGTGGAGCGAAAACACTCCAGCATCAAACACAACCCACAGCAATACCACTAATCTCGCCATTATCACAGTGTCTTTCAGTTACTGGGTTATTCTGCACTCTGATCTGCAGACAAAGCTTTTTCAGAACCATTACTTTTAGTGAGCTGCACTTTGGTGCAGTAAAATACATTTCTGGCAGGAGGAAAATGTCTGCAGCATGGTGCTTCTTTGATCTCAGTGAAGCAATGTGCCAGCTGTGCAAAGCTGAAGTGTCTGGCACGACTGAAAGTAGATGAGAGCTAAGATGTGAAGTACCTTTGCCTTGAAAATAAAGGCAGACACAAATGCTTCCTTGCATTTATGTAGAAAAGGGCAATTAAGCCCTGTTTGCATGGTAATATAGAAGATAGTTCGTCAGATATTTCTCACGCACAACATTCGAGTGCATCTCTGGGTTAAAGCAGAGTACTGTATCACAATAGGAAAAAAACCCACAGAAATATATGCTGTGTTAAGAATATGCTTTTGATGAACCACAATATTTATCTCGTTCTATCACTGGTAAACTACATACAATCAAATCACAATGTTGGCCGAACATAACCGCATCGATGTCAACACGTATATGTATGGCAGCTGAAGTGCACTGACATTTACAGAACAAGCCGATATAATGAATAATGCCGCTACAAGCTTAGATGTGCTCCCTGCTGGTGCCCAGATGTTAGTGTTCAGCAAGTGGGTGATGAGTGTTTACACATCAGAGCTCTAAAACCCAAGAAACATTCATGCAGATGTTTGAGAACTGAAACAAAAAAACAAAACAAAAAAACCCTGTCACTCAGGAAGCAAAACGAGACACACACTCTAGAGAAGCATTAAAAGAAGTCAGCTGTCTTGGAGGCCAACTCTCTCTGCATGCCACATGATTTAGCATCAATAACAGCTTCTCAATTTAGTTTTATTTTACCTAGTTTGCTCGATGAAAGAAAATGTGAATGAACCAGATTGTTCTACAATATCATGTGAACCAAGCAGTCAATCTTTGTTTATTCAAATGCCATTTTCATTGATCATGTGATCATATTGACAGTTTCTGCCAAACTCTGAATTCATTTAGTTGTATTTAGAATCACCTGTGCATTATTTGGGGTCCAATTTTGCACAGTATTTCCCCAAGAAAATGTAAAGAAAACAAGTATCACTTTTGTAAACTTGCAGGAAATACTCCTTGTGTTTACCACAGGATGGTAATAGAAGCTTCTATTTGAAGTAAAAGAGTCACATACCTTCTTCCCCGCCTGCTTATCCACCATGGCTCCATCTCTGTCGCTCCCAGGTTTTGCCATGGTGAGGCAACCTGACTAGCTTAGACAGCTACAGCACAGTAGGTTCATCATGCACCTGGAGACAGAGACCACAACAGCAGTGAGGAGGATTTCAACCCTGCCACATCACTGCCTGACCTAGTAATTCTTGCTGCAAACAGAGCACGCCTGCACGAGACAGTGGCAAGAGCAGGAGATTGTTTTAAAATGCAGGTACAATTAAATAACATTCTTTCAGAGACTGTTTATAGGCTTTCAGCAAATGTTTGTGTTACAGAGGAAACGAGCCAAGTAAAGAAAAGTCACTTAACCCCCACAGAGCAATGGAGGGGCAGGGTATGAAATAGTGCTGCCACCGAGCGCAACTCAGCTGTGTTTCAGGATGTAGGTTGAGTGGATCTGTAATCAGGGATTTTTATTGAAATTTCCATTGCATCTCTCGAGATTGACCTTAAAGCACCGGCAGGAAAAAACTACATGAGGCAGCATGAATCACAGCTTTAGGGACTTCTTGGGTTTCTGAGAGGAAAACGTCCCCCTCTGTATGTTGTCCCTGCGGCCTACTCATCAGTGTAACCGAGCTCGTTTCTGATGTGGTTTGTGACGGTGTAGTAACACAAGCTGCAGAGTCACTGGGGTGCACTGTGGGTGCCAGCACTTTAGAGAAAGTACAACACTGAAGCTGAGCCTGCACCTGAAGCCAACATGGCATCTGTCAGTTATCTTGCCACATGAAGATTGCAGCTTTCAGTCATGAGACCCTCTATTATCTAGTACTTTGAATGAACTTTCCCTGCTTCCTTTTTTCGCTCACATATACACACCCAGGACCATGATGACTGAGCAGAAATAGCCTCCCGCTGCTTATGAAAGTCCCACTCTTACTCTATATTAAGAAACCTGAGAGCCATTGATTACTTGTTAAGCAGCCTCCAAAATGATTGGGGCAGCCCCCATTACTCATAGGCATCAAAAATACAAGGGAACTCTAAATTTCATAGTAGACATTTAATTTTCCAAGAAGAGAACAAGCATGATAGCAGTTTTAGTATTGCACTTATTCATAAAACAACCAGGGCTTTTGTGTTAAGGGGTAAGCCATCTCAGTAAATAGCACAGCTCTTGTTCCCAACAATTCTGGCAAGTTCCAGGCTGAATAATTTATGATTAAATAATCAGATCAGCAATCTCTCACAGGAAAGTTCTGACAACAAAATGTGACAAAGTGTTTGGCACTGGCTAGCATGTTTTCTGGGTTTTTAAGCAGGAAAGGACATTTCACAGGAAGAATCCTAGCCCATATTCACTGGGAACTATTTAATGACTCTTTAAAGATCACTTCTCACCCATAGACAATATACAGTATGGACATAGCCACCACGGTACAATCCAGTGAATAGTAGTCTCATTATAATGCCCTGATCAGAGCATTTCTTACATCCTTGTAAAGACCCGTGATTGTTAAGTCATTAAATAATAGGATATCATCCTAGATAAACTTTGTTTTTAACCACTTAAAATTAGCATAATTTACAAAAAGAACTTCATGTTTTATTCAATATGTCCTAAAACTAGCAAATGAGCCCATAAACACAGGAAAGATTTTATACAACTGTGAGTCTGTTTTCAAAAGGAGTTTAGAATGAATGCAGGTTTGTGGCCCTTCTGCTTTGGGTTCACTTTACAAACACAGAATCTACATCCATATTTTATACTGTCTATGATGTGGACTACTTGTGACAGGCTCGCTTTACCTGGGTTTGAACTGGACTGTATTTTCTTTTTCATTTTGAAGACGTTCTGCAGAGAACTTTCTGACAGCTGCACTTGCTTTTGCCTTTGCAAGTTTCTCCTATTTACACAGTATCATCTAATCTCTCCTTGGCACATGTGTATCACAGGTCCAAAGCCTGGTATGTAGTAACAACTTTTACTTTCAGTGGCTGACAAATAGCTTTTACTTGCATTGCCACCATATTCAAACAGTAATGGCATGTTACACACTAAAACCTTGATTATTCCTGCCGGGTCTACAAGGCTGATAGGGTCTAAGTGATGTAAATGTCATTATTAGGTGAGTGCAAGGGTCCATAAGAATGTCCGCATGCTTGCCAATTTCTTATGACTGCACAGACGTCTGGAGACTTTACAATGCACCGACTGTGCATGAGACTTTAAGCAGATTTCAAAGAAGTATAACAGGAATGACTGCTCAGCTGCTTATGTCTTCAACAGAGTATATTAAAAACTTAAGTACTAACAAGGAAAAATATAAGACAAGAAACAGTCATTTAAAAATGATTTTATAATTTATTTACTATTCAAGTAATTGAAAATCATGACCAACCTCAAAATTTATGGCTGTTTGCATTTTTTTTTTTCTAACACAGAGAGGTTCTACCATTCAAATGCTTTAAAAACCCACTTTATCTATCAATTACAAGCAATTGAGTCAAGTTTTTTCTTCAGGAAAATGCATACATATTTAACATATCAACTTTACATGTTAACGTCAACTTGACGTCAACTTGTGCGTTTTTAATCATCATATTGTTATATTATAAAACGGAAAAAAAAAATTCTGATTAACTGTCAAGATTACTTGGGAACGAAACTGTTGCTTGCATAGTTCGGCCTCATTCTCTTTAACTTGTGCTCTAATGGGAGCCTGTCCTCATATACAGGGTTAAAATTGGAAGGACAAGGGCAACCAGTATCCTTGAAAGACTGGCATTGCTTCTACACTATTAGTAGTGAAAAGTCCACTGTTAGTAGGTATACAAGTGATGGTAATATCCACTACATTCCATGTCTACAAAACACTAATCACAAGTTCAAGGTCAGGTGATGTTTTTGTGAGTTTTCTAAAATTAAGTGGTCATATTTAAGAGTCTTCAACTACCAAATGTTCAGCATTTAAGGATGCTGAACAGGATGCAAAAATCGCCTTTGAAATTGAAGAAAAGTGAATGCAAGTGGCTTCTTCTAATTTAAAACCTTTAGCATTAAGAAGCACAGCCTGGGGCACACTACAGAATCATTACGGTGCAAGCAATTGATGCCCAACATACCAGGTTTGAAGGGATCAGAACATATAAAAAGCCTTCAATTAGACACCATCCAGATGTAAGCTGAGCAACAAACATGTTCTGGCAGTGACACAATGTTTCATGTAATCACCTTTACGAGGGGCCGTTTTTAGGATGTATACAAAAACCACAACTGAAAGTTTAATCAGCTACTACTAAGACAAAAGGCATGTCTGTCGTAAACAAAGTGACAACGCTGACGCACGTTAAGGAGGAAACTGCTGTTGCTGTAATCTGCTCTGTGGTTGACATTTTTAATGTATTCGACTGTCAAAATTCATGTCAACTCTCAGGTTGACATGAATTATTTGAATATGGCATTGTTGTAATGTGTAGGTACTGGATATGATGTCTTCTTAGAGTCTAACAAAACTTTGCTCAGTCTAACCATTCTTAAGAAGTTGCAACATGCTTTTTTTTTAAAAAAAAAAAAAAAAGAAATTTTTATACAGATTTTTTGTGTTTACTTACTGACTTAATGTATAAAGGAAATAATTTGCTGTTGTGAGGCTTTAAACTTCGATTCTCGTCGTGCAGTTTAATCATAATCTGACTGCGTGATTCTCCATAACATCAGCACTCATAATAATCTCTATTGGAAAGCAGTGCACATGTTACACATGCTATTCACCTTTCTGGGGAGAAACCAGTCGTGCTGGTTTTGACATTAATAAGGCAACTAGACTTCTTTCAGTAATCCCACATTTTGCTTCTTCTGATACCTTTTATGATCTTTGCCGATCCTGTGTGATACTGTGGTGTTGACAGGTACAGTTTTTTCCAACCCCATTGACCAACTGCACAGCCGAGGCCAGTGAGAGGTCATTAGTCAGCAGATAGCCAGTAAGCAGCAGCATTGTCATTCACGCAGCTGAAAGGGAGAATTGAGCTGCCCACAGTGAACTTGTTGGTGTAAAGAGGCTGGTGTATTGGGGGTATTAAAGCAGTGTGGACAGGCCAGGACCAAACCAGAAAACAAACGCTGACAGGACTCCAATCTGGCACAGAGAGGAGGCGAGAAGGGTGGGACTATAATTACAGAGGTATTTGGGCACTCGCCAATTTGCCATTTGCATTTACTGCGTTTCATGTGCAGCTCAGGGCTGCATAAGCCCCTGCACGCTCTGCCATTAACCTCAGGCTGTTTCAAGTCCAGATCAAACCTCGCCTTGATGACTGCTACAGTTCACTGAGACTAAAGCGGAGATTAGATTGGCATGAGATGTCATACTGTGGCAAACAGTGTGAGCAAAAATTTTCCAAACCACTTAATATCACTAAAGCAGATTTATCAAACTGCCCCCCCCTGAAAAAAAAAAAAAAACAACAACCCATGAGTGGGAAAAGGTTAAGAGATGTGATTACAAAAATCATTGGATGGATTTCTCAGTCTAAACGCCATCACTGTGGTTAACAATTCAGCAGAAAAGGACACTGATGAGCACTAACAACACATGGGCCACTTTGAAATATTTTCAATAATCATATATCTGTTGAAATACCAGCTAAAAATCTCGGTTATAATTACTTAGCAGTTTCTTCTCATAAATGAGCAGCAGTCAAAAAATGCCAAAGTGAAACGACTTAGAGGGAAATTCAAATATCCCCACTCCCAATCATTTGCCTCAATTTAATATGTTAAACTCCGATACTGGGAGGAAGATTTTTCCTGTTATGTTTTAGAAAGCAAATGATTTTTAGGATTATTTGTGACTGATTTATCAAATTAAAATGACAATTTTCTGTGGCCTTAATTGATATATTAAGTTTATAAAGGTTTAAAGTATAGTACATTTCCAATTTAAAAAGACAAATGACCAACACTTTATACATAAATACATATTCATTAAAAAAATTATTTTGCTTCTTAATGTGTGCACTGATTGTGTATGTTGTTTTTTATGTCTGTGTTTTAAAAGCCCAACCTAAGGATGGGCATTGAAAAATAGCTTAGGCCATAAATGCTGTGGTGTGTGGCATGGTTCAT